ACTCAGCACGATACTTACCGAAAGTAGCAAGAAAGAAGGTCACAATTGCCAAAGAGGAGGGGGGACTTGGTATTTTGGACCAGGAAATGCAAACAACGGCCCTTCTGGCGAAGTGGGTCATTTACCGAAAGTAACATGGAAGAAGGTCAAAGTTGCCAAAGAGGAGGGGCCCGAGGGAGGACTGGGACCCCTGGGTTTTTTGTACTGGAAAATGCAAGCAACGGCCCTCCTGGCGAGGTGGGTATTTTGGACCTGGAAATGCAAACAACGGGCCTCCTGGCGAGGAGATCCAATTTTGTGGAGGACAGGACAGACAATTTTGGACAGTATCCCTGATGAGTGGATGGAGAAGATTGGTAAGCCTTTAGAATCTTTGGAAGGTAGCTGGATGGTGGAAGAGAATCGGAATGCCTACAGGCCCTGTTGGAAAATTGTGGAAGTCACAATGATGGAGAGATAAAGGCAGTGTCCAGTTCGGTATTGAAAAACTTAAAGGGAGTTCAGTTGATGTAGCTCAGTGGACCAGTGGTTGGAGCCCCGGTTCGAAATGCGTATTGTGGTATAAGATTGCAGGTTCAAAACTCCGCAGCCTTGCGCATGGACACCAATAGGGCGTTAGCATGACTTACAACTGGACGCACTCCCCTGGGATGACGCAGGTAAGCTACTACAGACACTGTTTGCGCACCACCCAGGGGTCTTACTTGATGGTTGTTGTATATTGGGTTTAGGCTGTGGGATGTTTCCCTGATGCTCGTGGCTGTAGTGGTTCTTTGCATGCTTGCATAATTAAGGATGACTGTTCATTTGCCTTCCAGTCCAATATTGCGCACAAATCGTTCATTTTCCACAGTGGCTCAGTAGGCTCGATAGTAGATTGCATGGATGAGGTTGTGTGTTCAAACTCGCTTATGTAGTGGGATGCAGGATTTACAGAGTCTGACCTACACACCGCCCATAGATTCAGGAACGGTTAATGAGAGTGAGACCAAGTACAGACTGTGCTCAGTGTTGGTAGGTTTCTTGGGGCAAGATAAGAGTAGGGGGATTTGTTACTAGCTTGAGATCTGAGGAGGTCAACCATTAGGCAGGGATGTGACGAACTACTTCCTGAACCCGTGCTATCTTTCGTACCCTTCTTGCTTGTATCATACCACCCCATAAAAACCCCGTTTCGTTTTCTTGATTTCGGGTGCCGAGTTTTGGGCCCCCATCTTTCAGAAGCTTTTACGATTCCCGGGTTCTGCTTTTTCTTTTTGCATTTCGGGAAATACATAGGAAATTACGTGCGCCTTAGTGAGCGCACTGGGAATTGGGCCCGACAGTTGGGAATTCCAGGATAAGTGGAACTTCGACATGTCCTTGTTGTGTGTGAATGTTCTCGGTCGCGTTGGGGGAACTCTCGGAATTTTGTGGGGATACGAATAGGCGTAGGACTTTATTTTCCCGCATCGTTCTTTCACGTGCGGATATGGTGATTTCAATTTTGAATTGGTTTAGGTGGTAGGCAAGCTGTAACTGTTTTGGTTCCTTTTTGTTTTCTCTTCTTTTTGTTGTTCACGGCGCCGCGCATGCAAAGCTTTCCCCTCTCTGTCCCCCGCATCGCTCTCTCCTGCCCTCCTTTTTCCTTCCCCCTCCTCTTCCTCTCTCCTCGTAACTGTTTTTTTTCCTCTCTCTCTCTCTCTCCCGCTCTACTCTTTGCGCGCCCATTTTCCCTTTCTTGATCATCTGAATCTTGGACCCGTCTTGTGCTACTTTTCGCGTCTTTTTCTTCTCATCCTTCGAACTCAGCGCACGATGCCCGGGCGATCCTTCGATAACTCCCGCTCGCCAATCACGTACGTCGATCAATAGGATCCTTCTATTGCGCGACGAAACTCATTGGTTGAACCTTGAGTCTCGAGGGATCAACATAGCTTCCACGGAGCGCTCTTCTCAAACTCTTCCTCTCCTGCTTCTTTCCCTACACTTCGACTTTCCCCCTGCCTTCTCTCTCCCTCGCCCCCCTTCTCACCACTATAAATTCCGCAAACGCGCCCGCAAATCTCTCTTACATTCTCGACTCCGAGCCAGCTCCCGGGAAGCAGTGGTTCGGCAAAGTGTTTGATGCGAGTCGGAAAGTCGTGTCGGGCTGTCGATAGGCTGCCCGGTTGCGCGCTTGATCGCCACGACGAACTGTGGGATCTGGGCGAACCGCGTCGAGTTTACGTCAGTGGGGTGACGATCGCAGTGGTGGGAGTTAGCACGTGACGACCGGGATCGTCGGTGCGGGTATGAGGATCGATGATTGGAGTTGAGTGAGTGATTGGCCCGGGGCCATATTGGAATTAACGGTGAATGTGCGTTTGTTGTTGCATATCTTTTTCTCTAGCGTGAGTGCACCGCAGCAACGCCGAATTTTCTTCTTTCGGATTTTGTCATCCCCTATCTCGACTCTCCTCCCTCACCTCCCCCTCTCTCTCCTCTATCTTTGAATGATGATGTATCCCGATGTTTGTCTCTCTCTCTTGGATGGGAATGAATCTGTGTGCTTTCTTGCGTGAAAAAACTTCTTCAGGAACTTTATCATTAGTTTCCTGGGTAATCCCCAGATGTCGAGAAATTGATCTTTTTTGTCTTGTGAACGGTAATAGGTGTGTGCAATTCCCTTGGTTGATTTTTTACTCATGTACCCTCGTCATTTTCGCACCTTCCACAGTGAATGTATGTATGGAGATGCTTGCCTTTCTGTATTAATTAGACGCCGCACTTGGCGGGATTTTATCCAAGAATGCAAGAGTGTTTAGATCTGTATTTCTGAATGCACTGCGCATGCCATCTGCCTTATGCTGCAAGACATCTGCAGCCGATCTACAGGGCAGCCTCGAGAAATAAGGCGCCTGGGATCACCACCGCGGTGGCTTATGGAAAACTGAGTCGCGGGACGGTCCCGACAGAAAAAAATCCCTTTTTCATATATTGTGATATTTAACCTTCGAGCCTTATTTAACTGTTGCCCACGTTCTTTACACATAGTTTTTTAACATTGTAAGGTTCATTCACGTTGACTGATAAACACACAATGAAGGACTGTTGCTTCAGCTAATTAAACGTTAAATATGTTGGAGAGACCCATGAACCAACCACTTGGACAACATTCGTTCAACAATTTACAAGTGTTTGACTAACTGTTCGCCAAATATTGATTCAACAACATTTTTAAGATGCGACAACGTTGGAAAGATTGTTGGAAAACATCAAGGGATGTTTGAGCAAATGTTGATTCAACACCATTTTCAACACATGACAACGTTGGAAAGATTGTTGAAAAATATCAACGAATGTTTGAGCAACGTTGAATATCAATTTTGAAAATAAAATAAAATAATATTGAATCGTTCATGATATATGTATATATATATAGCCCTGTTTAAATTGTCCTCTTCTTTTTCTCTGCCTACGGTTTGCCGAGCAGTTACGTTTGTGACGATATATATATATATATATATATCAGCCCATTATTGCATATAATAGAATAATATGCATACACAAGTGTATTGCATCTCTTACTCTCATTGCGCTGAATACAAAACATGTCATGATGTTTCTTTTTATATAGGATTAGTGTGTCTCTCTACCTCTCTCTGTATGACCATCGCTTGCTCTCATTCCCCTCAAACAAAAGAGCGTTTGAAAGTATAGTTATGAATACAACACTCATTACATCATTTTGAGGAGTGTGCACACAATTCCTGTCACACCCTTGGTAACAAATATCAATTTTGCATATACCAGAATCCAAAAATCTCCTTCCAAATCAGCCTAAGATTGGTTAACAAGCGCCCTTAAAATTACCCCTGAACTTTTCTTTGTGTCATTTGTCCTTTCACTTTCTCTGTCTGTGTCACCATGTTAACTGCCTCCCTTCCTGGAACCCTTGTCTACCTTTCTCTTCTTATCCGGAAAACCATCTCTCTCTCTCTTCTCTCTCTCTCTCTCTCTCTCTCTCTCTCTCTCTCTCTCTCTGCAGTGTGTGGATGAACTCTGTATCGTGCGGGTGGTGAGGCTCTCTTTCAACAACGGCGTTTGTCATCATATTTAGCATAACCACCTGTCAAACATCCAATACCTCCGAATAACGTAATTTTTTATTTATTTATTTTTTATTGCTCTCTCTCTCTCTCTCTCTCTCTCTCTCTCTCTCTCTCTCTCTCAAGATCTCGATGAACTCCCCGTTGTGCGGGTGGTGAGGCTCTCTTTCAAGTACGCCGTTTGTAACCATATTTGGGATGACAATCTCTGAAACATCCAAATACCTCATGTTGACAGATTCTCTCTCTCTTTCTCTCTCTTTCTCTCTCTCTCTCTCTCTCTCTCTCTCTCTCTCTCTCTCTCTCTCTCTCTCAAGTCCCCGTCGTTCACGTGGTGAGACCCTCTTTCAACAACATCGTTTATAACCACATCTTTGACCACCATCTGTCAAACATCCGAATACCTCACGTCTAACAGAATACTCTCTCTCTCTCTCTCTCTCTATCTGTAGCATGCCATAATAAATAGTTCTGCTCTTTTGTTCTTAACTCGTAGTACACACACATGTTGTGAGCCACATACATTAAGGTAATGCACCCTCTTGTAATCAACTACAGCCTCGGAGTCTTATCCGCCTTTTGCAATCTCTCATCGCATTCCACATCCTCGTCCTCACCAAATATGTCTATAAATTTGTGATCGTCTTTCATGTGCACGACCTCGTCTATCATCTTCTTCTTGTTCGTGCAGTTTCGATCCCATATTTTTTTGCAACTCTCCACAACTGTTTTATTTTTGTCCAGTGACACAACGTTCAATGTCAGTTTCCCGATGCCTGATGTAGATGTAGAAACGATGGTTTCTTCAATCTTTTTCATTGCCCGAGTTGCTGGACCTGTGCACGCAGGTCGACTTTTATTGTTGATATGACAATCCAACACCATGTGCGCGAATGCAAGTTGTTGAAGTGTGCAACCCTTCCAACCCACGTCGGTGTGCTCTTTATACAGCACGTCTTCCACAACACTCTTGAACTCTTTTGCACCCCATGACTCATCTTCCTTCACTCGCCATGAAGAATCTCCTTCCATCTTCTTACGCAATTCCTCTCGTCTTGCATCTAAACGATCTCTGATGCTTCCACACGGAAAAGACACTCCTGCTGCAGTCCAAAATGCTCTAACGATGTCATATGCGATTTCTCCTCTGATGTTCGTCAACTCCCTCGACCCCATCATACGAAGTATCGCCTTATCTCTTCATTCCAACATGCGATGAACACTTTCTTTTGTATTTATATCAACCAGTGTCACAAATTTCATAAATGTGTCGACATAGTCATCAATGGCAGGGTACATCTCGGCGTCACGTGCCCGTGAAAAACAAAACGCCTTCGCAAGGCAATGCAACATTTTTTTCAGGACTCTGGAATCCGCTTGCAACGTCTGCACTTCTTTCGACATACACTTTTTCTGTACAACCTTCTCTTTCTTCGACTCTCTCTCCCCTCCTCTTGTCACTGTGCACAACAAGAATTCCGAGCACCGTATAATATACATGTGAGTAGTATACACAGAGTGGATATTGCGTTGTATACAGACCTCACAAATGCATCAATTTTTGCATGTTACGACACAAAGTTCGACCCATTCAAGCCACAAATCCTTACATGACACAATTTCAACATAGAATGCGGTAATGCGGATTTATATACCTATCGCTCAATCATTTTTGTCGTTGTTTTCCAGTTCGTCATCGTCAGCACTTGCGTCGTCAGATTCGTAATTTTCGTCTCCTTTCGCTTCGTGGTCGCTATTGGTGTCATCACTATCCCACTCTTCCTCTCTCTCTCTCTCTTCCATATCTTCTTCATCGTCGACGTCCTCATCTTCACACCTGCTTTGAGAGAAACGACGTTTTACGTCCTTAAACTGTTGCTCTTCAAACGTCTCCATGTCTTTTTTTTTTAGCGAACTTTCTCCGACATCTCCATCATCACTTTCTTTGATGTTAGTCAATTCCCTTGGGCTGAGCGCGCGCCCTTTCCATCCTGTCATGCGATGAACAATGTCTCATGTTTTCGAGTCAAGAGAACTTACAAGTTCACCTCAATTGAGAGGTATATCTCTGCATCGTGTGCTCGAGAAAAACAATTTTTTTTTGTCACGCAACGCAACAATTGCTTCATCATTTTTGAGTGTGTTTGCAATGTCTGATTGTCTCCACATACGAGCTCCTTAGGAGTTTTTTTCACCTTCGCATTTCCCTGGATACGCTCCCGCATCACTGTGGACACACACACAATTCAAGTGTCATACAAAAAGTAGGTAAAACCAGTGATGTTTAGTTTATTAAGCATGTATTTATCTGCATCCACAAAAAACGTATTGTAAACGAATAACATTTGTGGACTCTCTCTCTCTCTCTCTCTCTCTCTCTCTCTCTCTCTTAGATTAATGAAAACAACTTGAAGGTGATTTGGTTGTGTCCTTTACCTATTGCTCCCTCAATTGCAAATTCTCGAGTCTCTTCTTCATCATCTTTCGCTGTCTCTTCATCGTCATCATTTGCCTTTCCATCGAATCCATTTACGTGAACGCCAACACGATTTCTATCGTATTTGTCCTCAGACTCTTCATATTCTATGTCTTCCTCATCTTCCAACTTCTTTTGAGCTTCCAGTTGTGAGGACGATGCTTGTCAGTCTCCATCTCTCTCTCTCTCTCTCTCTCTCTCTCTCTCTCTCTCTCTCTCTCTCTCTCTCTCTCTCTCTCTCTCTCTCT